GAAAACCAGCAAATCATCACAGCTGTAAAGGACGGAAGGGAGCAGAGTGGGGCAGAACTAGAAAGGTGGGCGGGGCCGGGCTGAAAAGAAATAGAGGAAAACAATAGAATGGGAAAGACTAGAGATCTTTTCAAGAAAATTAGAGATACCAAGGGAATATTTCATGCAAAGATGGGCACAATAAAGCACAGAAATGGTATGGACCTAAGAGAAGCAGAAGATGTTAAGAAGAGGTGGCAAGAATACATAGAAGAACTGTACAAAAAAGATCTTCACGACCCAGATAATCACGATGGTGTGATCATTCACCTAGATCCAGACATCCTGGAATGTGAAGTCAACTGGGCCTTAGGAAGCATCACTACAAACAAAGCTAGTGGAGGTGATGGAACTCCAGTTGAGCTATTTCAAATCCTTAAAGATGACACTGTGACAGTGCTGCACTCAATATGTCAGCAAATTTGGAAAACTCCACAGTAGCCACAGGACTGGAAAAGGTCAGTTTTCATTCCAATCCCTGAGAAAGGCAATGCCAAAGAATGCTCAAACTACCGCACAAGTGAACTCATCTCACACACTAGTAAAGTAATGCTTAAAATTCTCCAAGCTAGGCTTCAGCAATACATGAACCATGAACTTCCAGATGTTCAAGCTGGTTTTAGAAAAGGCAGAGGAACCAGAGATCAAATTGCCAACATCTATTGGATCATCAAAAAAGCAAGAGAGTTCCAGAAATACATCTATTTCTGCTTTGTTGACTATGCCAAAGCCTTTGACTGTGTGGATCACAATAAACTGTGGAAAATTCTGGAAGAGATGGGAATACCAGATCACCTGACCTGCCTCTTGAGAAACCTGTATGCAGGTCAGGAAGCTACAGTTAGAACTGGACATGGAACAACAGACTGGTTCCAAATAGGAAAAGGAGTACATCAAGGCTGTATATTGTCACCCTGCTTATTTAACTTATATGCAGAGTACATCATGAGAAACACTGGGCTGGAAGAAGCACAAGCTGGAATCAAGATTGCCGGGAGAAATATCAATAACCTCAGATATGCAGATGACACCACCCTTATGGCAGAAAGTGAAGAACTAAAGAGCCTCTTGATGAAAGTGAAAGGAGAGTGAAAAAGTTGGCTTAAAGCTCAACATTCAGAAAACTAAGATCATGGCATCCGGTCCCATCACTTCATGGCAAATAGATGGGGAAACAGTGGAAACAGTGGCAGACTTTATTTTGGGGGCTCCAAAATCACTGCAGATGATGATTGCAGCCATGAAGTTAAAAGATGCTTACTCCTTGGAAGGAAAGTTATGACCAACCTAGATAGCATATTTAAAAGCAGAGACATTGCTTTGTCAACAAAGGTCAAGGCTATAGTTTTTCCAGTGGTCATGTATAGATGTGAGAGTTGGACTGTGAAGAAAGCTGAGTGTCGAAAAATTGATGCTTTTGAACTATGGTGTTGGAGAAGACTCTTGGGAGTCCCTTGGACTGCAAGGAGATCCAACCAGTCCATCCTAAAGGAGATCAGTCCTGGGTGTTCATTGGAAGGACTGATGCTGAAGCTGAAACTCCAATACTTTGGCCACCTGATGCAAAGAGCTGACTCATTTGAAAAGAGCCTGATGCTGGGAGGGATCAGGGGCAGGAGGAGAAGGGGAGACAGAGGATGAGATGGCTGGATGGCATCACCGACTCGATGGACATGAGTTTGAGTGAACTCCGGGAGTTGGTGATGGACAGGGAGGCCTGGCGTGCTGCGATTCATGGGGTCACAAAGAGTCAGACACGGCTGAGTGACTGAACTGAACTGAGGATTTTAAAAAGACATTATGAAAGCAATAGGAGAAACCAGAAAGAAAAGTTCAATATAATTATATCTAATTTAAAACCTCGAAAGAACAAATGAAAATCTGAAGAAGTATTATATGCATTATTGCAAATTATTCAAATATAAAAATGCCTCATGGGAAAAATTGTCTACAAAGAGACAATTCAAAGAAAGACAAATAGTCAATAGACATAAAGTTACAACTATAAAGATAAAATAAATTCTTATTAAAACTGAGATTGGACTTCCTTGATGGTCCAGTAGTTAAGAATCCATCTGCTAATGCAGAGGACACAGGTTTGATTCCTGGTCCAGGAAGATTCCATGTGGCATGGAGCAACTAAGCCCATGAGACAAAACTATTGAAGCCCACTCGCCCTGGAGCCTGTGCTCCATAACAAGAGAAGTCATCTCAATAAGAAGCCCATGCACCACAACTAGAGAGTAGCCGCCAGTCACCACACAACTAGAGAAAAGCACAAGAGCAGCAATGATGACCCAGTGTGGACAATAATAAATAAATGTTTGATATTTTTAACCTCAGTCCTATAAAAAATGTAATTCAGGTACTCACAAATAGCAATGAAATACACACACAAGCAGTTTTTAAGTGGGCAAACCTGATGGAACAGAATTTAGCTTTCACCAGTTATTCTACTTCTAAGAAACAGCCAAATTATTGATAAGTGTACATGGCTAATAGAAATAAACTTTTATTCATTTCTTCTTTTTTGTAGTTTTAATTTTATTACAAAAAAATAGTAAAACATATATCATTTTCTAAAATCCACAATAATTACGTATAGCCATAATGCATGCCTTTTCTTTGACCCTAAGTCCCATCTGTGCTTTGAAAACACTAAACTCCAGTGAGATCATTTGTATAAAGACAATAAGCTAGTTACTGGCATCATTTACAAGTTTAGAAAGCAAGTGAAATGTGAGAAGAAAAGCAAACACCCAATGAGAAGATGAGAACTCAATTTTTCTCTACAAGGCAGACTTTGTCTCTGGGTAGCACTTCCTGCCTGGGCTCATGTCAGCTTTCCCCAGGGCAGCGAGTGGGGAACACAAGGAAATCACGAGGGTACCTCAGACTTTCCGTACAGGCTGGAAATTGTGGTCAACAACTAACTTCACAGAGTCTGGACCCCTTTTAAAAGTTAACATTGAAGTAATAATGCCAGTCAAAGGGGTGGCTGAAGGCAGGAGCCAGTCTCAACCTTCATCAGAATCACCTGGAGCTTGTTTAACCCCCACCCCCAGAATTTCTAACTTTACACAATTGGTCTATAAAGAGTGCAGGGGAATTTGCATTTCTAACAAACTCCCAGGTGGTGAGGATGAACATGTCTGAAAGCTATACTCTGAGAACAGTCACCCTAAAGTTTGATTATAGAGATGTTTCGCATGCATCATCTCCAACAGCAGGAACTTTAAGAACTTCCCTTGAGAGACTCCTGCCAATAAGTGTTTGGAATCAGCTTCTCTGTGCATTTACAAACAAGTACACAAATAGAACCTACTCAATACAGCAGTTACATACACAGGGAGCCAGACTGCCTGGTTTGGGATCCAACTCTTTCAGTTTCCAGCTGTGTGCTGGTAGACAACTCACTCAACCTCTCTGCTTCAGCAACTTCAAGTGTGAAATTCGGAAATGCGTGTCTACCAAAATCAGTGAGAAGTCCTTATCTTCCCATTTCCACACACACATTTTGAAAATCCACAGACAGAAGGTGCCTGAAGCGTTGCTTGCCCTGCCTTAAGCAGATGTTTGACAGTTTCAGTATTATTTAGAGTAACCACACCCACATTCCTTCTTCTAAGCCCCTCTTTCCTTAAGGGACACCAAATGGCCGAGATGTAACTGCACACTGAACACACCACCATCAGAACAAGCACAGGCGCTCCCGTTCCCCGGGGATCACCTAGGCTGTCCCATAAAAGAAGTATCAGACTTTGTGGAAAAGATGAATGGTTTAGGTTCCAGAAACAAAAGACCTAATAATCACCCAAGTGTGATTAAAATCCAGAGGCTCAGACTTGCCTAGTTAGTAGGTCCCAGCTATTAGATGAAGACTTCAGCTAAGAGCTTCAGCTCTCTGCAGCGTTTTTCATTGGTGTTTGCTCCCAGTTCAGGGACCCTTCAGTAGTTTCAGGACCAAATGACTCCTGGGCAGGACCACCTGCATCAAGCCCAATACTGCTTCTCTGAGCTAGAGATCTGCAGAAGACCCCACAGGTTTCAGGGACCACATCCCCAGGGTTTGGTCCTCAGAGGTGGAAGTAGAGATAATCACAACAGGGAAAGGGGCTGGTCAAATACATACTCCAGTCCTGGCTCTGTGTCCCAGGTAAAAGCAAAACGTGTTCAAGAATAGTGTTCCCATTCATTACATTAAAAACAAGTGTTTTTACACACATGAAACTTGTCACAGATAGATACCAGGAAATGCAGTGAGAGATGTACAGGGCTAGACGGAGGGGGAGAGAGACATTGTCAGACACAGTGATGAGGCAGCCCAGTGCAGGCGGAACTCAGCAGTCACCTAAGGAATATGCGGAAAGTGGGGACGTTCTCGGAAGATGACAACGGTGCAGGGCACTAACTGAATAAAGGAAGCTGTTCATAAACTGCGTGCTTAGGGGAAAAACAAGGGTGCCGCTTTAGTTCAGAACTGCGAATTCCTGAGCAGTACTGGGGAAGCCGGCTAAGGATGGAGTGTGGGTGTGTGGTATTGGGGCGGGGAGTGGGGGCGGGGGGGTGGGTGGAATGTAGTCCAATCCTTCTCCCGCTTGACGGGAGACTCCCCTCGGGCAGCCTGGGTTCATCAGCTTCCCTACCTCCTGCTTCACTCGCTGCCCCTCCTGCTTCACCCGCTTCTCGTCCTACTAGGGCCTAAGGAGTTTGGCGGTGGGGCAGCGAGCTACAAGTCAGGGAGCCCCGCCACGAGTTCCCTCTCCCGGGCTCTGTTCCCCTCGCCAGACGCCAGGGACCACGTGGTCCCACGCGCTACAAGCAGCCAGGTGCCCAGGGCGCCAGCGGAAAGCGCTCCCTCGCCCCGACCAGCCCCCGCCTCGGCCCCCAAAAGCGCCAGCGGCGGCGTCAGGCACCCGCCCCGCGACGGCGGAGGTGTCACAGCCCCGGCGGGCTCTCACCAGAAGAATAGGCGCGAGCAGAAGTTCGCGTCCTGCATCGGATTGGGCTTCCGCATCTTGCCGGCGGGGGCGACCGCGGGGCGGGGTCGCGCTGCTCTGGTGATGGAGCTGCTCCTGGAGGCGCAGGCGGGGAGGCTGGAGGCTCGGACACAGCGCGGGCCTCTCTTAGGGAGACAGAACCACCTGCTTCAGGGAGTGGAGCACCGGGGGGCTGCCCGCTCCGCGCCTCTGCCTCTGGGCCCGGAGTCGGGAGCGGTGGGGGCAGCAGGACCAAGGGGCGGCCGGGCGGACCCTGCTGGGGGCCGCGCAGGTGTGAGGCGAGCTGTAGGTGTGAGGCGAGGTTTCAGGCGCACTTGATGGAGCCAGGTAGGGAAACTGCGGCACCCAAGGCACTGGGCTGCAAATTCTACCAAAGGGAGCGCTCTGAGCCCGAGCCCCCACCCAGAAGACGGAGAGGGAGGGGCGGGCTGCATCAGAAACGCTCCCTCAGCTGTGGTGAAGACCAGGAGAAAGCTGGCACAAGGAGATAGCAGCCCGCCCTCTGGGCACTCTGCCCTCATCAGGACCAAACAAGGGCGCTACAGGAGGTGTCCAGCTGTAATGGAGCAAGGACCCTGTGGGACCTTCCTGGGATAGATCCCACCCCACCCCGTGCCCTCTGCCTGCCTCTTGTTTGTGCATGTAGTGCTCACTCAGTCCTGTCCGACTCTTTGCGACCCCTTGGACTGTAGCCCACCAGACTCCTCTGTCCATGGGATTATCTAGGCAAGAATACTGGAGTGGGTTGCCATTTCCTCCTCCAGGGGATCTTCCTGAACCATGGATCTAGCCCGCATCCTGCTTCTCCTTGCATTGGCAGGTGGATTCTTTACCACTGAGCCACCTGGGAAGCCCCTCTTGCTCGTAAAAAAAAAAATCCTTAATCTCCCAGGCCTCCTCTGAGCCACAGAAGGCTGGCTCAAGAATTAGTGATTGAAAGACTGTGAATGTGTAGTAACAACAACGACAAATATTAAACAATAGCTCAGCCATATAGCAATCACAAAATCTTTAGTTCTTCCCTGAAGGATTTAGATCATATAGATGACAGTGTCTGATGCACATTCCTGAGTTGTTCTGCAGATACTAAAACCCTCACCAGACGGAAGAAGTTAACTGCATGATGACCAGGAGCAGGGAGCCCCCACACCAGCTGGAGCCTGAGGACTGAAGATGTTAAGCCCCGTGACACGACCCTGTTACCTCATCATCAACCAATCAGAGAATAATGCTGGAGGTGATCACCTACACTGTACTTTCTCCCTCACCTTCCCTTTAAAAACTCTCCCCTGAAATCCATCAGGGAGTTTGGGTCTTTTTGAGTATGAAGTCCTTGCTTGACTCTTGAAATAAACCTTTCTTTGCTCCAAACTCACTAACAATCTAACAGTTTTTTTTTTTTTACTTCAGACAACAATAGGGTTTAGCACAGATTATGTTTGTAGAGTTGCAAGACCTAATGAAAAGTAACAGAAAATTAGAGGAACTCAGATGATTTTGGAAGATGAATGCATGGTGTTAATGGGGACAGCTTTTTGGCATCTTACATGGTGCATTGTGCAGGGAACCTCTGTGAGCTTGTTGCTGCCCTCTTAGATTGGGAAACAGAAATCTGAGGGAAGAGAGACTGTCTCATGATTTCTTTCATCATAAGCTCAGGGCTGAGACAAATAACAGTGGTATATGTTACAGAACACAGGTCATCATATTTCTGGGGAACTTCCCTCACCTTTAACTCTAACAACACCCTATTCAGCAAGGTATTATCCCTGTTTTATGGATGAGAAATATGAACTCAAGGACAGCACTTGTCCAGGGTCTTTGAATCAGTAAATGATGAATCCTGATTTGGACTCAAGCCCAAGTCCAGCATGACTATCTCACTGGTGGATGGACAGTGTGCATCAGAACTGCCTAGAATGTGCTGTTTGAAAGAATGAATGACTGTAGGACTGAATGAACAAAACGTTGGGCTCCCACCCATAGTTCAGTTCAGTTCAGTCACTCAGTCATGTCCGACTCTTTACGACCCCATGAACCGCAGCACACCAGGCCTCCCTGTCCATCACCAACTCCGGGAGTCCACCCAAACCTATGTCCGTTGAGTCGGTGATGTCATCCAACCATCTCATCCTCTGTCGTCCCTTCTCCTCCTGCCCTCAATCTTTCCCAGCATCAGGGTCTTTTACAATGAGTCAACTCTTCGCATCAGGTGGCCAAACTATTGGAGTTTCAGCTTCAACATCAGTCCTTCCAATGAACACCCAGGACTGACCTTCTTTAGGATGGACTGGTTGGATCTCCTTGCAGTCCAAGGGACTCTCAAGAGTCTTCTCCAACACCACAGTTCAAAAGCATCAATTCTTCTGCACTCAGCTTTCTTTATAGTCTAACTCTCTCAACCATACACAACTACTGGAAAAACCATAGCCTTGACTAGACGGACCTTTGTTGGCAAAGTAATGTCTCTGCTTTTTAATATGCTGTCTAGGTTGGTCATAACTTTCTTTCCAAGGAGCAAGCGTCTTTTAATTTCATGGCTGCAGTGTCACCATCTGCAGTGATTTTGGAGCCCTCAAAAATAAAGTCAGCCACTGTTTCCCCATCTATTTGCCATGAAGTGATGGGACCAGATGCCATGACCTTAGTTTTCTGAATGTTGAGCTTGAAGCCAACTTTTTCACTCTCCTCTTTCACTTTCATCAAGAGGCTCTTTAGTTCTTCTTCACTTTCTCCCACCCATAAGTATATAGCTACTTGTGTGACCATCTTACCAACTCAGCAATTTTCTTCCCTTCCACCCTAAATGAAGAAAGATCAAAATTTGTGGAGCTTATTACAAGATCATGTTGCTATTCTTTAATAATTTCCCTTTTAATGACTTTTGCCTTCAGTTACAAAAGATGAGTAAGTTCTGGAGAACTGGTATACAGAAATGTGGCTCCAGTCGACAATTATGTACTGTGAAATTTCAATTTTCTACGAGAAGAGATCTTGGAAGTTCTTAACATTAAAAACACAAAAGGAAAATGGTTAAGGTGTGAAGTGACTGCTATGTTGCTTGCCTTGGCTGTGGTGAGTATTTTCTATAGTCCATGAGGTCGCAAAGAATCAACTGTGACTTAGCAACTGAGCCTATATGTGTATCGACTCATTAGGTTGTATCTTAAACAGTTACATTTTAAATTGTCATTTACACTTCAATAAAGCTGGAGGGAAAATGCTGTTAAAGAAAGCCTTAATGTATTCAAATATCTTTTATAAGTCAACTTGTAAGAATGGCAGAATGTTGATCATTTTCTATCAATGGGCATTATTCTGTCTTTTTTGATATTTCATGCATGTTTAAAATTTTCTGTTCCAAAAATGAAAACAGAGCTGAAATTTGTAACTACCTACTTTCAGGTGTTAGCTCTTTCCGAGATAATACAATCTACAATCTACATTACCAGACTTCACCTGACTTACAGTCCTCTTAAATCTCTTGCTGAAGCTGGAAGGCTAGTGACTTCCCTTATCATCCTTCCCCAGGCTATTCTCTCCAGTCCCTACAACTATCTCAGAACCATAATTAGCATCTCCAAACTATCAGATGCACTCAGTCCCTTCAGCTTCTGCTATCTGTTTTGCTTTTAACTAAGATCTTTTGAACTTCTTAGCATGCTTTTCTGAACATTAATATGATATTTAGAAGAGATGTTAAAATCCAGTATCGAATTGTATAGAGAAGACTCAACATGAAGCCAGGGGACCAGAGCTTTAGATGCTTCACTTATTATTTAATCTTTCTGACCTAACCCATCTCAGGTCTAAAATGGGAAATTGCCACTCTTTATACTTCCTATAGGTTTATTGTAAGTCTCATAATTTGTGAATGCACTTTCTAAAACCTAAAGCAACATACAAATAAAAAGGTTTCCATTCACTGAAGAAATGTTTAGTGAATGCCTTCTAACTACATGACCACAAGGCCAGGCATGGAGCTGACAAACACAGAGAAGATGTGTTAAAGTCTATATCTACATGTGTTTTCTGATCTTCAGTGTTCAGCACTATAACTAAAAGACAATAATAACAAGTGTTGGAGAGGATGTCGAGAAATTGGAACTCTCATACATTGCTAGTGGGAACGTAAAGTGGTACAGCCACAAATTTACCACATAATCCAGCAATTCTACTCCTAGATAGATAAATGAAAGCACATGTCCACATGAAAACTTACATATGAATGTCATAGTGGCGCTATTAATAAAAGGAAAAATGAATTGGAGGCAGGGGGATCCAAGGGTACATCATCCAATAAATGGATAAATAAAACACGGTATTACAGGCTATGGAATATTATTTGGCATTTTATAAAATACTGATGCATGCTATAGCATGGATAAATGCTGAATACTTTAGGCTGAGTTAATGCAGCCAGCCATTGACTCCAGTGAGGATGATGAGACAGCATCTAAGGAGAGATTCAGTCTTGTTGGACTTGATGATTCATTCCCAGAAAAACCTCAGGGACATATGATGCAAATTTACAACTGTGTGAAATATAAATTATTAAGTGATCTACAGGATCTCTGTCAAATAGTCAAAGCATCAAGCATTAAATCTGCAGCAGGTATACGAGCAGTACTAAAATGGCCCAGCTGAGATAGTGCTGGTCTTCAAGCATTTTTCTATCAAGACAAATGGGACAAAAGGGATTCACAATTTAAATACACTCCAGCGAGTATCCATAGTCTGAATATAGTGAAAATTTCATTGTCACTCCACCTTCCCATATATCCACCTCTGTAACCTCAGGAATGGACATCTCATTCAAATCTAGCCAATAATAATATGCTATGTCTGTGTCCAAAGAGTTTGGCCCAGAGATAAACTCAAGGCCCATGTCAGGCCAAATGGCTTTCTTCCTTGAGGATATTTTTGTTGTTGTTCTTTTTTGTTTTTGTTTTCTTTTGTTTTTCCTGGAGTCAGGGTAAAACTTCACTTTCCTTTCTGGTGTGGGAGTTATAAGGAT